TAACAATATTAATTGTTGTTTGCTGGAATCGCATTGAATTTTGAAATTCAATCAGCTTTCGTATGCTTCTTTATTGACATTTTCTGCAAATAACATTATTTTCCGCTTAACATAACATTAGCAACCTTTATATTGACATGCTATTAAATTGAGGCTGTAAAGTACATAAAATCAGGGTGATCTTGGATTTACTGATCGGCATGAGTAAAATAATGATAAGCTGGATTTAAACTTGAAGTGAAAAGCTGAAATGAGAGTCTGAGTATTACTTGCGTGAAACTACAAAAAAGAAACATATTTAGGTAAAACCTCAGAACCTATAGATAACAAAGATTTTACCTCTTAGTCCGATGGATCATGAAAATTGACCATGTGGATTTTCTGTGTTTATGGACACAGGAAAACCAAACTGCATTTGAGCTTTATTCTAACAGGATGATGAAAGAATCCAGTTTAAAAAAACCGAATTTACGACATGAAATATTTGTCAAGTCGAGATAAAATGATAACTTTAGATCTAGAGCTTTTTTTTGGTTTACTCAGCCGGCTTTAATTCCAGTCAGACCTTAGTTATACTAAGTGAGCTGTCCTAACAACTCTTAAAAGCAGACCGTAGCAAACAAGTTGCTTAAACACATTAATGGACTGAGGACGCTTCCATTAGACAAAATTATGACTAAGCAAACAGTTGTCGCAATTAATTTTGAAACCTAACAAACCCTATTCAGTCAACTTCTCACAGAAGCACTGTATTATTAGTCAACCCACTGATCAACTTGGTCAGTGCTCTTGATACTTTATTGTCATGTCACCCTTGCTTATTTTGAAATTTATCAGGTAATTTTTTTCTTGTTGTTCAGCAATCAATTTTAGACTTTTTTTGTTCTATTAACAGTTTAGAATAACCCTAAAGGTAAGTAATTTAGACCCAAAGAATTAAGATGACTATTTATTTCTTTATGGTTCCAAGCTCTGAAAGAGAGCAAACTTTTTTCCTAATTGTTTTCCTTCAAACAATTTGGTGATAAAGCCCGTAAACTTTGTTTATTTGTTTCGTTCCAAATTCGTGCTGTACTATTCTCGCAGCAATTTTATCAAAATATTAAGAAATCTATACGATTGCTAAATGCACTTTGTTTTACGCCGATATATGAAAAGTTTTCTGTTTGAAACACGAGCCTCAGTTCCAACACAGGCGTTAACTATGGCGTTATATCCCCGCCAAAATTCAAGTATAAAATTCAACATTCATGTTTCCAATTCATCATTGAAGGTTCACGATTCAACATTTGTGTTTTCAATTTGACATCCAGAGTTTACAATCCAACATTGATGTTTTCAATTTCAACATTGAAGGTTCACAATCCAACATTCTTGTTTTCAATTTCAACGTTGAAGGTACATAATCCAACATTCTTGTTTTCGATTCATGATTCTACATTCGTGTTTTCAATTCAACATTGAAGGTTCACAATGCAACATTTATATTTTCGATTCAACATTGAAGGTTCACGATTCAACATTCAAACTTGCTTTGAGGATTCTTTCACTTTATTTTACTTACCTTCGAATTGTTCAACATTCATGTTTCGCCGTTCAACATTCATCCTTCGCATTCGGCTTCATGGCTTAGAGAACCGCTGTACCATAAGACGCAGGTATTTCCGCTGTACGTAATCTACGTGGGCTCTACTCACCTCGTGGGCTGAGTCGTTGCAACCAAATCAGTCAAACTACAAATGCTGCCCTGAGAAGAGTAGCTGAGCAACTGCTCTTTTTAGCAAATTGATACAAGTAACCATTCTCACAAAAATTACCGAAGAACATGAGACCGAAAGCACATTTTTGAAGAATAAGAATTTTGTTTTTGTTACTTTTAGGCTCCCACGAGTGGGTGAAATACTTTTGACAGTGACTTTAATTGTACAACGCGTAAGTCTACTCTGTCTCATACCGCGGTACTTTTGCTACAGGTAATGCATTTGGCTAAATTAAATAAACCCCCCCTCTCTTTTAAGCCCCCCTTCTCTATTAAGCCCCCCCCCCCGACAAAAATGATTGAAAAAAACGCCCCCTGGGGGACTTAATAGAGGATTTACAGTAAGTATGGTTTTATGTGTCATAATTATGACTGACTGGCATCATCATGGTTACTAGTTAGTAGAGTAGCAAATTTGATGTTGTGGTTTCATATTAGTCAGTAAAAACTTCTACTGAGAGCCAGGAGGGTGATTCCTGAAAGCTTCGTGTTACCCCTGCTTGAGTTCTATAAACTCTTCCCTGCCCCGCAAAGAAAGGAGTGTAAGGCGTACAATGTTTTGTAAATAAATAATTCTCAACATTGATTTTTACCAAAACGAACTTCAAAGTCTTGTTTATTATTAAAAAAAAAAACTGGGAACTCCCATTGTAAGTGCAAGCCGAGTCTTCTCACCTGCGATTGACAATCCACATGTCGACATTCTTCTCTCAATTGTTCTCGAAGAAACACTGAGTAACTGAGCAATTACAGGTATTTTAAAACCCTGATAAATCGAGGAAGATAGTTTCTCCTCTGTTATTTCGAACGACGGTCGGCCTCTATTTCCTGAATACACCAGTGGACATTCCATGACAGCATAAGGAGGGTAATTAGTCTGCAAACTACTTATTTACCTCCTCCAAAAGTAGAACGATCTCATCTATTGATATTTGCGAAAAACCGCTATCCAAATTAACAAGCGATCTAACTACATAATCGAGCCGCATAATTATACCATCAACTTCGTAGTTGCTGACAGGATTTTCAAGAACTTGAATAGTTTCTACGACAATATTTTAAATACTCACGAAATCCGCCATATTGAATCGTCCAAGCTAGAGCCCACGTAGATTACATACAGCGGAAATACCTGCGTCTTATGGTATAGCGGTTCTCCAAGCCATGAAGCCGAATGCGAAGGATGAATGTTGAACGGCCAACCATGAATGTTGAACAATTCGAAGGTAAATAAAATAAAGTAAAAGAATTCTCAAAGCAAGTTTGAATGTTGAATCGAAAACACAAATGTTGCATTGTGAACCTTCAATGTTGAATCGAAAACAAGAATGTTGGATTGTGAACCTTCAATGTTGAAATTGAAAACATCAATGTTGGATTGTAAACTCTGGATGTCAAATTGAAAACACGAATGTTGAATCATGAATTTTCAATGTTGAATTGGAAACATGAATGTTCAATTTTATACTTGAATTTTGGCGGGGATGTGTAGCTCCATTCTCTGCCTTAAAGAGCACACACAACCCACAATTCCTCTATTCGATCCGACGAAGGGCTAACCCTCGAAACGTCAGCTTTTGTAATAGTTACGGTGGCCAATTTACCACTTCTATTTTGTCGATATATCCAAAATATAACGCCATAGTTAACTTGGTCATTCGATCCTTTATTAAGACGATGTCTTCTATGAGATTATGTGCTTTACTGGTTCCGTTCGCAAAAGCATGAACGTCCAAGAAAATAAAAAAATATCTTCATAGAACTTCACAAAATAACAATAAAACTATCGTAAAAAACTTTCAAAGAGAGATAGTTTGGTTTCATCACCTAAGTTGAAAAATAGTTCTGATACAATTTTTGAACTTGATGCCATTCTCAGGACAGAGAACATTGTGTACTTTTCAACCGTCATGTTCTTGCTAATTGTGCCGCTGACCACCTTGTGTGCTGCAACGGACAGCGGCTCTAGCAACCTTCTAAGAGACACCAAAGTAGATTTAATTCAATTATCACGTGTAAACACCACAAACAGGAATCAACTGTCGCAGCAAAGTCTTCACAACATATAAGTCTTTTGAGCCTTATCAAATAAATCCAATCTGATACCTTAAACCTCAGATCACACGAATTCACAAAGTATACAGTCAACCATCAGTCCAGTGCACTAACCATTCAGCCACCATGCCTCTTCCTCTGATCCATATGATTAAAGTGGGGTGAATGGGGTCAATCGGGATTAGGGTGGAAACCTTATAACATTGCGTAACCAATAGTGACTTAAGGCAACTTAAGTAAACTTAAGGCGACTTAAGGCGACTTTAGGCAACTTAAGGCAACTTAAGGCAACTTAAGGTCTCAGAGGAGGCCTTTACAAATATACTTTCTCAGCATCTTTCATAATAATAATCTTTATTGAGGAAATAAACCTTGAAGATTAAGACTAAACTTTATACATAAAATTAAAAGAAAAACATGTCGCTTGAATGCAGTAATATTGGCAGATTCTCTTATTACCTCGTTAGTAAATTAAAGTCATTTACATCAATGATATGCTTTTCTTTGTTTCCCCCAGTTCCTCTTAATGCTGGGAAGTCTAAGATTGGCTTTATAGCTTGTGTTGTAATTATGTTGCCGTTCACGGTGTGTTACTAAAGTCAATTCATGGTATATAAGTCCATTTAAACATTTGTATACATGCACACATCTTCGCTGTAAACGCCTCTTCTCTAACGGTATCTACTTCAGAGTCGCTAATGCATGCGACGCAGATGAATACCGCGGACGATCTAAAAAAGGATTTTAGCTGTCTTATTTTGCAAAACTTGTAGGCTAGACATTAAAGTTATATTTTTGGAAATCCTTCAGTTTTATTATTTGTTCCTACTTGTTTACTTTTATCTTTTATTTCGTTTTTACATGACCCAAAACAGGAACCTCAATTATGTTATGGAGGAATTCCGGGAAAAAATGGCGCACCAGGTATGCACGGCAAGCCCGGTATCCCAGGATCACCTCGTCGCGATGGCCGCGATGGACGTGACGGAGCTAAAGGCCACATGGGAGTCCCTGAGAGCCCTGGACCTCAAGGGCCACCTGGTCCACAGGGTGATAAAGGAGATAAGTGAGAACCTGGTACCCAGGGTTCATCCGGCCAAAGGGGAGAGCGAGGGGAGAAGGGCGAGCCTGGAAAGCCAGGAACGTCTCAGTTTTCCTCCTATATGAATTGGAAAGAATGCACATGGAAATCAGGGAACGGCAAGGACCAAGGCTTGATCAAGGTGACCAATGATTCTCATGTTGATAAACTTACAAAGGATTATGAAAGGATAGTTCAAGGTCGGGGGTGATTTTATTTAGAACCTCACGTTTGTTTATGGCACAGGAGAGCGCGTGGGCTTACAACTGAGAAATAAGAAATTGTGGCTCACGTGCAAATCCGCACGACAGTTCCCATCGCAAAGCTTACTGCATATTTTTGATACCTGTCAAATCTGACATGCAACAGACTGATCCTTTAGATATTCGAAATACCTTTTTTAATCTAACCAATAATTACTCCACCTAATTACTTTCCTACTTCGCAAAAGATGGTATTTTCGAATTAAAACGCTCTTGTGCACCACGCTCTCCTTAAGACTGAACATTTCAGCTACTTGCTCGGACTTTTTCATGATAAGAATTGATATTCACGTGTCCCAGAAAACTGAAATGGAGAAGACTAAATACATATCTAGAACTACTGAGTCAAAATAAACTGTATGCATAGTGTGCCTTACTGAGAAATATTGTCTTAGAGAAGCTATATATTGATATTCTGTGATAAAGTAAAGGGATATCGGCCTGTTAAGACTTGTGTTTCTTGCGTCAGAGTTCAGAAAATGTTCAAAGGGTCTAAATATATTATGATTCAATCAAAACTCATATTTTGGAAAAAACAGCAATTATCTTAGTTTTTCTTTGACTATTACTCGAAGAAAAAATGTGTAGCTCGGTGGAATACAAGTTATAGAGACGATTATGTCCGTTAATCATTATTTTCTTGTCACACTAAGTGATCTGCAGAAGTCTCGTTAGACTGCAACTTAAACATCTCAATGTAACTTAATTTCCAGTGCAATCTAAAAGAAGGGCTTTATATTAGAAACAGATGCAAGGAGATTATATCTTCTCTCTCTCTCAACTAAAATTCAAACTGGAAAAGAAAACAGAGCTCTACAACACCCAATGAAAATCTTTAAGTCTTCTCTATAAGTGGTTGGGTATAAATTGAAAAAATTCAGTTCGAGTCTTGAACAGAAATGCGGATTATTGAAACCAATAATGAAACATGATTTTCCTCAATTGTTATTGTCAGCGTTATATGTTATTTATCGGGTGGAATATCGGTATGGCCGGAAAAAACTGTGCCCAAGGTCTTGAGTACGGTCTTGATATGCACGTAGCAACTTTTATGTCGGTACGAGTATGAAGCTGGGCTGCGCGCACTGCGAGCTCCGCTGCGAGATTGTATGACTAAGAAACCCAAAGTAAAGAAAATAACACAAGAGGGTGAAAGTATTAAGTTCAGACTTTTCTTGTTGCTGCATAGTGAGTTTTTCGTTTGTTTGTTTCTTATTGGTTAAACGTGATCCTTTTTCATGCTGGCTTATCTCCAACGACTAAGAATTTTAACGAAATAACAAAAAATTTCTTATATAATCATACTCAAAGAGGAGAATGATGTATTGATCATGTTAATGTGCATTGCTCTTTCCTTTTCTATCTTTAGTCGTGCTGTGATCATTTTCGGATGGAAAACTTTTGGATGGCCAAGACAACAAGCTGACATATTTACTGGACTGATAATTCATGAAAATAATCCATTTCCTCCGTATTTAGGTCAATAGCCAAACTTAACCATCTGATACACCATAGCTGCATAGAACTCTGTCATCTCATGATCTCTTAAAACAAGTAGGCAAACATGTTGTCGGAAAAAATGCAAACAAAATATATAGAACTACTTAGTTCCTATTCAGTTGACATGAGAAATAAACACGTTAAACGCGAAGGCCTAAAACAGGCCAGCAGTTACATCTTTACAAATGCTGTTTACTCCAGCGAAAACGACGGCTGCATTACTGCTATATGCGTAAATCAGATCGCTAAGACCCGTGCGGCAAATCAGCAATTAAAACATTGACAGCATATTGGGAAGTTTGGTGACGAGAGCGCATTAAAGGCAGTAAGCAACACCTGTAATTCCATAACGCAATTGACTTTCAGTATCGCTGACGTCACAAATTAACTCGTTTGTTATCTGGTATGTGCATGTTGATTCATAAATGTGGCTCGATTAGCAGGGAAACGCTAACGGCGGGATAAAAAGGTTACAAAACAAAACAAGAATACACCGAAAAATACAAACGTTCATGAGACTCTCATAATCAAAAAACTCCACTCTGACAGGTCACATGTTTGTCTACTTAATGGTGTAAACAGGAAATTTGAAGGCTCTTAACGGATTAGCTTTTACCTAGCCTTATTTCTTCAGGTGTTCTGATTCGCACACTCAAAGTGATTCCCGTTGACAAAAGGACTTATTGAAGCGGCTACTCGATGTAGCCAGAGCTACTCCAAATCGAATTGTTCTATTGAGCGATTTCCTTCAACTAATTGCAGCAACCTTAAATAACCTGCCCTGTTCATCGTATGTTTGCAGCATTTTTTGCCTCTCTAAACTTCTGCCAAAGAGGGGAAATTCATACCAGGACACTTTCGCGTTTCTAAGATCAGTGAGCATTATAGTTTTGTTGTATGAGGTCCGCCTCATGAGTTTTGAGAAACTGAGAAATTGACAAAACTTAAAGCTCAAACCCAATGTATGAAAATTTCCCTTTGGACTGTGAAAAATATCATGAAAATCAAGTCCCACCATGGCACTATTCCTGAGCTAATTACTACAGGATATGTCTTATGCATATTCGGCCTTTATTACCTTTCGAACAAATCAATCACAGGCGTTTGTTTTTCAAGTTTTCACAGAAAGTTGCTCATGTAAACTCCAGGTACTTCTTCTAGCTGACGTAAATTATGTAAAATTAGCTGAATTCTTCATTAGGTATCTCATTTTGAACCTGTAATGAAGTTATCTGTTTGAATCATTATTAAAAGATAACATAAAATTAAATCCAGACTTGTCGGAAGCTTCTACATGGACTGTCTTAAACTTGTGTTTATGACATTATCTGACACACGTCGAGTGAACGTGTACGGAATTTATTTCATGTGGAACGGATCCTACTTGGACTGACGTCATCCCATCTCAAGGACTAATTCACCAACAAAATAAGCCAACGAAAACACAAAAGCTTAGATAACGTAAAGCATCATCAACATTCTACTAGATAAATCTACAGCTGCATGTGCCACTCTAAGGGTATAACAAGAGTTTCGAGAAAGACATTTAGTTCACTTTCGAGCAACCGGTAAGCATTAGTTTCAATTTTGTCATCAGACTTGGCGACACGTAAGCGTAAAGGCATGTGACCAATAGTAGACTTCTTTTCATTTGACAAATTGGGAACAAGCAAACCAGTTGTCTTTCGGAGAATGGTAAAGTTCATTAACTATCACTTTAGAAACTTGTTTTATCAAGAATCATTTTTGAGTTATTTTTTTTAAAAAAATAACTATATGTTAGCGTATAGATTGGTGTATTGTGGTGTAGTGTAATCTGATCAGCGCAATTTGGTGTATCTCTAAGCAATCTGATTGGCGCATCTTTTTTTGGTGTATCTCAACGCAATGTGATTAGCCCAATTTTTTGGTGTATCACAAACCAATCAGATTGTAGTATTTTTCGATGTCGCACCAATCAGAGCGTTCTTGCTAATTTGTGGTTTGACAGGTCTTCAAATTTCAGCGAATCAACGCTTGAGTCGGAGAGAGCGGTTCGCGAATTAAGGAAATGTATCAGTCGTGTTGGGAAAGTGGTGGAGTTGTGATCGTTGTACGACTATGCTTATTCTTCCTTCTGAAGGAGACTGAGTGGAACATGAGAAAAATTTTGAATCAAATATTACTTCAGATGTTGATAGGAGCAACTNTTAAGTTCACTCGAAAGATGAGTATAAACTGTAACAAGCTTATCGTTGATGCGCGGCCAGTACTTCAAATCTGACTGACACTCGATGCCAAAACTCAACCTCGTTCCCTGGATATGCCACCACATTACTTTACGCCAATTAAAAACTGCACGCTATTGTGCATTTTCTTGCACAGGAAAAACCAAACAGAATTTCTGATTCTGGCCCTTAATGGTCAGAATAATAACTAGGACTTTGTCTCTGACGAAGGAACGGCAATAAGCACAATTTTAACCTACGAGCAGGTTGTTGTTTAGTCTCGTCATGCAATGTTGGAGAGAGAGATAGCGTTGCGTGACAAGTTCAAATTAGGGCTGTGGAGGGGACTGCAGGAAGCGTTGTACCAATGCAGTTTATTTTTGCCAACAATTATTCAGACACCAGCATCAGTTATATAGTGTCCCATTTCAACCTACGTATCCAAAAAAATAACTCCTGCATGCGTAGCATGCCTATGTTTACTTGAGCCAGTAAACAGCGACAAGACCGAAGCAGGGCTCCTGACCGAATAGACTCATCTGACAATGTAGGCCGCTACTACTGCCGATTTTGTTTTTCTTATTTTCTTGATGTTACGGAAGTCTTATGCGCTGAAGAAAGTTACAAAGAATCAAAAATTGCAGGAGAAACATGCAAAATTCTGATATCTTTGCTCGTATTTGAATTATCTTGTCTCTGAATGAAGTTCCCTTGTCGTTTTTGTGTCGACTTTGTAGCATGCAAAGAAAACTTTAATTGAATATTTCATTGCCTACATCAACAGCTATAAACTATTATATTGTAGGCCTTTTATGTGTGTTTCGTGATTATTGTTTATTTCCCGTAGACGTTTCCTTAATCTTCCTAAAAATTCAATGTTTGTTCAAATTTTGAACAGATCATCCATACAAAATGGTAGTGAAAATTGCAACCTTCTGGATTTATCTGTTTGCGTTTTCATTTTTGGTTCCCTGTCGCGCAGCGGATAACGACTCCAGTCAACCAATATGCGACAAAGTGGTGAGTTTTTTTCCTAGTATTTCTCACGAAGTTATTGGAATAAGCCAAGATTCTTTCTGCTACGAAAGAGAGAAAATCAATTCTTTTCCTAGGTTGGAAGATATGAGCATTTTTAGATTCAAGTCACTGTTAAAAGTTTATGAGACCTTCACGCACTCACTTAGTAGAAGTTACAGGAAGAAGATGTTAGTTTAGCAAGCTTTCGTATGCTTGTCTAACTCGAAAACAGCCGTCGTTCCTCGGTAACATCCCCTTGAATTATATTCATTCGGTAAAAATTGATATCCTAAATTTTACTAAGAGCAGAAATGAAAGATCAAGTCTTTGATTCTTGATTTCTATTTAGATTTTAGTACAATACTGAATGGAGCTGAAACCTTCATATTAATTCTCTCATGGAACTATAAAATCAAAATATTAATTGCAATATTTGATGGTCAGCAGAAAAATTCCCGAACTGCGATAACTTTCAATCAACGTGACAATAAACAATGAGAAACCTTAAGCTATTGCGAAAAAGGACGAAAGAGTAACGTGGAAGAATAAATATATGAACTAGTGTACGTATTTGAGTTCTGCCTTTTCAAAAACATTCTATTTTCAAACTTAGCAATCTCCACTGTGCCTTTGTGCTGGGATGCCTGGTATGCACGGAAAGCCTGGGCTCCCCGGGGCACCTGTACGTGACGGCCGTGACGGCCGTGATGGACGCAAAGGAGTCAAAGGCGATCGGGGCAGCCCAGGGGAGAATGGACCCCAGGGACCCCCAGGTCTCCAGGGAGTCCCGGGTGCGAAAGGGGAACCTGGAGCACTGGGTCCTCCCGGCCAAAAGGGGCCGAGGGGAGAAAATGGGACAAACGGAATTCCTGGGACTCCTGGTATGATGCCCACTAAGAACTGGAAAGAGTGTGCCTGGAAGAACGTGAATGACGACAGAGACAATGGCTTGATTAAGGTATTTGCCTTTACATTTAATTTCATTGCACAATGAAATAATTTGTTCTCTGCTTTTAAGATAGATTACAGTTAGCCGATTACAAAGGTGTAATCAGCTTCCTACATTCTGAACCCCTTTGAAAGACGCAGCAATTTCATGATTTTGTACACCAGCTAACTACTACAGTTCAGTCAAGCTATATCTTCTACAAAGATATCTACACACACACACACACACATATATATATATATATGTATATATATATATATATAAGAAGTCTGCGTTTCGATTCTTCCGTATAACAGTGCTCGATACATAAAAGTAGAGCGCAATATAATTATGTTGAGTAGAAAAATACGACGACTAAGTTTATCCTTACAAGCCTGTTTCGTGATTGCTCACTCATCAAGGGATTTTATTATCAAGAATGTATATATATATATATATATAGATAGATAGATAGATAGATAGATAGATATATTAGTTGGTCAGTGTTTCATGCATTTGAAGAGAGAGGACCAGCAGGCCAGGCCCTTTCAAAACAGTTCTGTAGTTCAATGTTATATTTTCTCCTTTACTATTCAATTAATTATATAGCTGCACGAGAGTAGAGCACTCTGCGACTCAAAGAGAGGCTTTTTAGCGCGTACTTATAGCATTCGAGGATTAGAACTGTTTTTATGTAAAGGCTCTAAAATGATCATCATAACATTATGATTACACGTATGCTTTAGTAGGTCGACTTAGATCATTAAAAAGAAAAATGAAAAAAAAGTACGAAGAGTCATGAAGATTATTTGTAAAAACAAGTTTGCTCTGCAGAAAAATAGCTGCGTGAAATTCGTATTCCATTGACCTTTTTTCAAACTAAACAAAAACAAAATGTATTTTTTTAGGAGTGTGTGTTCATCAAGAAACACGCAAGTACAGTGCTTCATGTTTACTGGACTGGTTCCCTGCGGATTTTTAGCTGCAATAACTGTTGCAAACGTTGGTATTTCACCTTTAACGGCGCTGAGTGTTCTGGACCCCTACCAATTGATGGTGTTGTGTATATGCGCATTGGGAAAAGTCAAAATCGTCATCGCGTCTACAACATTGAGGGCCACTGCAATAACATCCACAAAGGCAAGGTACGCGTTGGGTTCTGGGTTGGTAATTGTCCAGGATACGGAAGCGTGGACGCCTACACAGGCTGGAATTCAGTTTCCCGGATCTTTATTGAGGAAGTTCCTAAGCCACAATCTTAAAGTGGAACACCCATCATTCAGCGACTGGCAAATGGAGGAGCAAAAGTTTCTTTAGTTGTGTGACGATTAGTTTCCGTTTTCTGCATGGGATTGTTTTGTTGTAATAATATTTTAGTATGCTGAAGAAATAAAGGGCAAAAGAAAAAGCTTAGGGCTTTGCTTTGTTTAACGTCTCTCCTGGCCTTATCTTCGTGCTCCACGTGTATTTCCTTAGAGCATCCAGCGAAATTAAATAAAATGGCTGAGAAAAGTAAGTTTTTAGAGTAGTCCAGAAGAACCACCTGACCAACCGTTAACGCAGTTTGACAAAAACGTTTGCTACATACACTGATCGAGTTGGAAAGTTGGAAATTAAACACTTCCTTCCTTCCTTACTTAACGATGGACACACGTTCAGAAGTCTGCTATATCGTGTTTAGACTCTTGCACATGCAATGTGTTTGACCGCGCTGTCCTGCACAGACTAGGTTAGGAAAGACTTTAATCATAATTAGTGTAGGTGTAGGTTCAAACGTGTGACTTGTCAGGGTGGAGTTTTTTTATCATTACGTGTGAGAATCTCATGACCGATTGCATTTTTCGGTGTATTTGTGTTTTGATAAATATTTGTAACCGTTTTATCCCGCCATTTTATCCCTGGTGTAGGTTCAGTTTGTTGTTAGTTCTCGTTCTTGCTCCGAGAGTTTTTCTCCAGGTCTCCTGGTTTTCCTACCCCCACAAAAACCAACACTCAAAATTCCAATTCGACCTGGAAACAGTGAGTGAGAAGAGCAAACTAGTGGAATGTCCACTGCTAAAATTACCATTCCCATTTAGGATTGTAGATATATACCAGAAAGAGACGTCAGTGTTATATGTTATTTACTGGGCGGAATATCGGTATGGCCAGAGAAAAAAACTGTGCCCAAGGTCTTGAGTAAGACCTTGATATGCATGTAGTTACGTGTATGTAGGTATGAGTATGAGGCTAGGCTGTGCGCACAGCGAGCTCCGCCATGAGATTGTATGACTAAGAAACCCAATGTAAAGAAAATGAACACAAGATGGTGAAAGTAGTAAGTTGACTTTTCTCGTTGCTGCAAATTGTGTTTTTTTTGTTTGTTTGTTTCTAATTTGTTAAACGTGATCCTTTTTCATGTTGGCCTATTTCCAACGACTAAGAAGCTTGATAAAATGACAAAAAAATGTTTTATGTAATCAAACTCAGAGAGAAGAATGGTGTACTGATCAGGTTCATGTGAATGGCCCTTTGCTTTTCTCTCTTTAGTCGTCCTATGATCATTTTGGAATGGAAAAATTTAGGGTGGCTAAAACAACTAGCAGACATATTTAATAGACTGATAACTAATGAAAATAGCCCATTTTCTCCGTATTTAGGTCAATAGCCAAACTTAGCCATCTGATACACCATAGCTGCATAGAACTCTTTCATCTCATGATCTCTTCAAACAAGTAGGCAAACATGTTGTCGGAGAAAATGCAAACAAAATATAAAGGACCACTTAGGTTCTCTTTAGTTGACGTGAGAAATAAACAAGTTGAACGCTAAGACCTAAAACAACCCAGCTGTTGCACCTTAGCAAATGTTCAGTGAAAACGACGGCTGCAGAATACACCTCACTCACAGACTGCTATATGCGTAAATCAGATCGCTAAGACCCGTGCGGCAAATCAGCAACTAAAATGCTGACAGCATATTGGGAAGTTTATTGACGAGGGTGCATGGAAGGTAGTAAGCAACACCCGTAAATCCAAAACGCAATTGACTTTCAGTATCGCTGACGTCGCAAATTAGTAACTCGTTTTTCATCCAGTATTTGCATATTGATCTATAAATGAGGCCCAATTAGAAGGGAAACGCTAATGGCGGGATAAAACGGTTACAAATATTTATCAAAACACAAATACACCGAAAAATGCAATCGGTCATGAGATTCTCACACGTAATGATAAAAAAACTCCACCCTGACAAGTCACACGTTTGTCTATTTAATGGTGTAAATAGAAAATCTGAAGGCTCTTAAAGGATTAGCTTTTACCTAGCCTTGTTTCTTCAGGTGTTCCTATTCGCACGCTCAAAGTGATTCACGTTCACAAAAGGACTTACTGAAGCAGTCACTCGATTTAGCCATAGTTATTCCAAATCGAATTGTTATATGGCGCTATTTCCTTCAACTAATTACAGCAACCTTATATAACCTGCTCTGTACATTGTATGTTTGCAGCATTTTTTGTCTCTCTAAACTTATGCCAAAGATGAGAAATTCATACAAAGACAATTTTGCGTTTCTGAGATCAGTGAGCATTCCAGTTTTGTTGTACGAGGTCCATCTCATGAGTTTTGAGAAACTGAGAAATTGACAAAACTTAAAGCTGAAACCCAATGTATGAAAATTTCCCTTTGGAATGTGAACAATATCATGAAAATGAAGTCCCACCATGGTGGCACTATTCCTAAGCTACTTACTACAGGATATATTTCATGCACATTCGGCCTTCATTACCTTTCGAAGAAATCAATCATAGGCGTTTTGCTGTCCAAGTTTTGACAGAGAGTTGTTATGTAAACTCCAGGTATTTCTGTTAGCTTACGTATTAAATTAAGCAACGGTCAAAATTCTTCATTAGAAATCTTATTTTGAACTTATAATGAAGTTATCTGTGTGAATCATTATTAAAAGATAACAAAAAAATGAAATTCAGATTGTCGAAAGTTTCTACGTGGACCTGTCTTAAAATTCACGGTGTTTTTGACATTATCTGACACACGTCGAGTGAACGTGCACGGAATTTATTTCATATGGAGCGATCCTACTCGGATGTGATCCCATCTCAAGGGCTAATTCACTAACAAAACAAGCCAATGCAAACACAAAAGCCTACATAACGTAAAGCATCTTAAACATTCTATTGGATAAATCTACAGCTGTATGAGCCACTCTGAGGGTATAACAAGAGTCGAGAGGAAGACATTTAGTTCACTTTCGAGCAACCGGTAAGCCTTAAGTGCATCCTTTACGTTCTCGTTAATCTTTGTCGTCAACTTACAGTTCGTATTGTTTTGATTCTGTTTTGCAGTGTTGTTTTCTCGCTCAGTTTGATCTAACTTTACCCAATTTTACTATAGGTAAGCTATTCAGGTATATACTTTATATATATGGTTTTTATGGAAATGTTCTGGCTGAAAAACCCTTGTTTTAGTCCTTTTCAAGACGAAGACGAGTCCAAATTTCCAAGGCGTACGTTGGAAATAAAACGAAAACCAATGGCAATGAAGACAGTACTTACCAAGTATTAATTTAACAATACATTCTCATTCATATTTCAGTTCAAAGGATGTCAATGCCGAAATTCCGTAACAAGATTTCATCCGCCATCATGTCTTGTTTATTAATCTTACTTCTGATACCCTTGGGCTCTGCTTGTAACGTGAGTTGAAATTTCTTAGAATTAAATTTGATCACTGGAAATCTACCCATCGAGTGCTATTTGATCAATGTTTTTCATATCTAATAGACTTTTTAATGAAAGTTATAAACACGTTCTGGAGATAGAATAGGAGAGTTAATATATTGTGTACCATTCCCATAAGAAAACGAATCATACGAGGACTAGAATTTTCACAATTTAAAAGATCTTTTACAAAACAGCTATATTACATAAAATCGTATTTTTGATCTAAAGTTATACACAAAACAGTAACAAAAATATTAGTGCAACAAAAAAGAAGTAGGTCAGTAGTTTGTCCAAGGGAAACCTACCTTTTTGCTCTTTCTGAGTAAAGAGTGGAAGAAAACGACATTTATTTCATTGACAGGTCCTCGACGCTCCCCTTGTTGTTGATAAACTGACACTCAACAGGCCGGAAAAAACTTAACACTCATCCAGATTTCTTAACAGAGCACCTTACCAATGACACAGTGTGGATGTAGTGGTTGTAGTTGCATGCCAGGAATCCCAGGTATTCCGGGAAGTCCGGGACCTGCGGGAGCAACAGGATCTCCAGGATCGCCCGGACCCCAAGGACCTGCGGGACCCAAAGGTCACCCTGGTGGAAAAGGAGATGAGGGCCCTCAAGGCCCCCCTGGAGAAAATGGGACACAAGGATCTCAAGGACCACCTGGTCCTCAGGGCCCAAAGGGTGACGATGGCGACCGAGGGATTCGGGGCCCCCCAGGTCCCCGAGGCTTCCCCGGCCTTCCAGGGTCATTCAGAGGTAACTGGAAGCAGTGCGTGTTCAATGGCCTCAGTGATCCAAAGGACGTCGGCTTGATCAGGGTAATTATTTAATTATTTTATCTGTTATACTTTAAACAATGACTTGTAACAAACACGAAAGATTTTGATACAAGATGAAAATTTGCTACTTCTTGAAATAAAAAATGCACATAAGTAAGTAAGTAAGTTAAGTATGAGGTTTTTAACACGGTCATCCATGTAGTGACTCCTCGCCTGTTACTTATTAAAAAGGAAAAGCGATGATCAAAATACTTTAATTAAATATATGATTTAATTCTTAAGTAAAATTAATGTCGCGACAGTCGGTTGGTCTACCCTTCGGAGTCAATAAAGAAAAAAAAAGGAGTGCTGATGCGTCCCAGTAATCTTAATCAAAACTAGGAAAGGCGCGTACAAAAATAGCCACTAGTATTGAAACGATAATAATAGTGTACCTGCCATGGGTGGCTAACTCTTCATCGGGAAAACTACAGGATAGTTTCTGACGCGAGTTTCGAAATATTTAATTTTAACAGTTGATAATAGTGGCCGGCATAGATCGAACGAAACCGGAAACGAAACGAAACGAAACGGAACGGTTAAAACTGCAAAGAAAATAGCGAACGAAAACCTATGACAATACAAATTAAGCTAAATATACTTAGGAAAACTACAACGAAAATAACGATGAAGACTACCTAATACAAAACTTACATTTGTTGCGATAGTGATGAGTCGCTGCCTAGCGGCGAAAAAGCTGCACGAAGCGGTACTACGAAATACAGTGGAACCTATTGGATAAAACTGAACAAACTACCATGAACAATACGGTCTAAATAAAGCTATGTTACGTAACCTTACGAAATAACACAAAGCACAGCGCACTCAAAATTTTTACTACAATTAGCGCTGTTTTAAAAAGAACAATAAACAAACGAAAAAGAATAAGGTGTTTCGGGATCTACAAATATAAAGTGCGTAGAATAAAGAAACAAATCGTTTATTAGAAATTATTGATGTAGCCGCTTTTTCTTCTGTTAATTATTTAAGACTCGTTATTCCTTTAGGCATGTCGCTTCAAAAAAGCATCATCCAAAACTGGCCTTCGGGTCTTCTGGAATGGCGTTCTTCGCATCTACAACTGCAATCATTGCTGTAAGCGTTGGCATTTTACCTTCAACGGGAGAGAATGCACTTTCCCGGCCAAAATTGATGGAGTGGTATACATGAGATATGGAGCTCAGGCAAAGAAGAATCTACTCCGTGTTCGACATATTGAGGGAGTGTGTGAAAGAATCCCGGCGGAAATCGTCACCGTGGGATTCTGGATCGGAAACTGCCCTGGTTATGGGAACTTCGATGGGCACACTGGTTGGAACTCAGTCTCCCGCATATACATTGAGGAGGTTCCACCTCCACAACTATAAAAGAATCGGTAACGCCGTCGCTGATGTCCAACAAGCCACCAAAACGATGATTTAAGAAAAAAAAAATGATTTTTTAGTACAAAAAGCCAGTCATGTAATGAGTGAATGATGTTTGATTAAAGGTGAAAAAATGAACATAATTGGGAAAGATCTTGGTATCAATTTCGGGCTTCTAACGATCTCGAATGATGGCAAAGTCATAAGAAATGCACAGAAAAGAATCGTTATGACTGAAGTGACTGCACAATTGTTTGCAAAAGATTTTTGTACAATTTCATTATCTTTTTTTAAAATATTTTTTGGTTTGGAGAAAGATTATATCTTTTTCCATTTGAGCCATCCTGTGTCAGTTGATAAGCATGTCATCATATGACCGCCTTCCATTTTGTATTTTGCACCTTACAGGGCCCTACCTAAAGCCAATTGGCTTTTTCTGGAACCATCACTTGCGGAACCAATCAAGGATTTTTTTTTCTAATGTTGCAGCGCCCGGTTTTAATTAAAACTGAGCATGGGGCTGGGTTGGTCCTATGATGAAACACGGTTTTAATTTCGAATTTATTCAGGATTTTTGCCCACAACGGCGCTGAAATTTCAGTCCTCAGCACTGCGCAACGAAGGAAGTCCCTTGCCAGCGAGTCCCTGTTCTGTCCGCCGTATTAAGGTTCATAACAACGATATCCATGCAGGAAAACTACGCGTGGGATTCTAGGTAGGCAAATTGTTGACATCCCAGATATGGCTACTTATAACCCACTTATTAATTTTGGCGGCATTTTATTGGTTACTTTACGTCACGTGGTGCAAAATCACAGGACAGTTATCACGCAATAACCCCCATCCGCGTCGATATTTATCATCCGATTTTTTCCGTGAAAAAGAAACATAGTCAACACAAGAGTTTCAACTTTTCCGTTCTCCTATTTACATCATGGAAGGAAACCAAACTCGTTTGTTTTTTTGTTTTTGTTTTTTTGCTTGCCTGCGTCAATCACGCGCATTCGCCATCAGATCACCACTGCCTTTTTTACTGTGTTTACGCGCAGTTTAATTGCGATGTGAAAATTAATAGGAGGGTTATAAAATAAATAAACCCCGTTCTGGCTTGCTGGTATGTCGGCTGATAATGTCCGCGGCTGAGAGATTGTCCGAAAAATGAATATTTGGCCGAGAAGCGATGCTTCGAGGGCAAATATGAAATTTTGAGGACAATCTCTCAGCCAAGGACATTATCAGCCGACATACCAGCCGCCCGAAGGGGTTTATTTACTAAATATATGACATTTAGTTCAGTGTAGCGGATATATAAAGCTGAAGTTCACAAGAGTCAGCCTTAGCGCTGGAAAAATGTGATATCTATTTCAGCATAAACGCTTAATCCAGGAAAAATATGATTTGCTTTTTACCCAGCATTACATCTCGCAGAATTATCAGTTTACCTTCTAATTATAACACCAAAAAGTTAAAAATGAAAGGAAGGAATACATCAAGTGACTTGTGCCCAGACTTATGTCGTTCGTATTTGTAAAGTTTGTTTTCTTTTTTAACAACTAGGAATTTAAGATCTCGTCGCCTCTCGGTCTGAAGTCTGAACTGATACTTCAACTGACGTGGACGTGATTTGCTCAAGATATCTTCTTCCTGTAGTACTTGCAAGAGTTTTGTTTGTTCGGCGTATAAAATCATATTCTCTAAAGACGAGATAGCGTTTTTCCACGCACAAATTGAAGTGGGTAGCTCAGTTTCGAAACAAAAAATAAATAATATGAACCGAACGTTCTAAACGCAAAATATCACATTATCTAGAATCTTGAGGTATTTCTTTTTTACCCTCTGTGAGGTTTTACAATGAATTTTTTCGCCAAATGGGGTATATTTGTACAATACGTCTTTCGTTTTTGTTTCACGACAAGCTCTATGTTCCATTTCGGCTAAATTTGGCTGAGTTTGGTAGCTCGAGATAAACAAAAACCGTTCTACTTAGTCACGTTCTAATAACGTGCTTTTGTAGACATTGATCGCAATCCGCTAATGTATCCTACACGTGCAACATTTGATAAAATGGAACTTTGGCATTTGAGACGCAAAAGGTGATCGAAGACGAATCTATCAGCTTTCGCCCCTACGACAACCATTTCATTGAAGAAGTAGGAAATATCTTTTCCACTGGTATGCATCTTATATTATGCTATGTTGACAAAAATATGTTGCAAGAATATGTTAGCCGTAAAATGGCCAAAATTAAACCGTTAGCCGTATGAGCCATCGATCCATTCAGACTCTCAGTTGAGTTCCTTGTGATGTATACAACAAAGGATAAATTTGATTGACGCAAGGACGCGTGTTCTCTAACTTGGATGAGCCAGCTACAGTCAAATTTATAGCAAGGGCAGAACTTGGTTGCACAACAATTTTATTTTCATTAAGTCATTCAAGTCATTCAAAAGAGGCTGAACAGCTCACTTGACAGTACACAATCACATTCGGTACACTGAGATCGATTGTTTACACTTGCTAAAAACATTTCCCTTATTAACGGGCTCGTAATGCTATACTGTTTTCATTCAAGATGGGGATTTCAAAAGTTTTGAAAATGGTACAATAAAACTATCAGCTAAACAAATAAAAAGGACTGGTTTGGGCTCCAGAACCTGCTTTCCTATCATTTAAATTTTGATTCAAAACATGGCTTCAGAGGCCCGTTAAGTTACCGGAACTTTCGAGAAACGGGCCCCAGGCCCCCAAACATCAATTAACCTTTGGGCGTCATGAAGTCCATGAGGGTCTCAAACAAACAAACAAACAAAAAACAATGGAAAGATATTAACCGTTAGTCATCACCCCACTGAAACCCTCAACTACTGGTTTAACTTTTGGTATTGAGTGAATCAATAAATGAATAAATAAAAGAAAAGCATAAGTCAATTGTTATATAATCCTTACTCGTGTTTTCATGCACAAAAAAAAAAATATCTGGAAAAACTTACTTAGACTACAAACATGTCAAGTCCAAGTTTGTTGCTGTTACTTCTGGCTACACTTCACACTGCAGCAGAAACTGCAAATGGAAAACAGAACGATAATCAACCCATGGTCAAGTCATTCAAAACAATCAAATGTTTTCATGACATTGTTCCTAAACATTAAGCGGTTTCGGGTTTGGTTTGAAAGCCAAAAGAAAAATTTGGCTTTTTATTGTTTTGTTTCAATATGCTTTCTGATTGACTTGCTTAGTCTCTGTGAAATCAATTTGGCTACCTAATCAATAAATAGTGTATAAGTCAAAAAAGACGAAAAGGACAAAAAGGAACCAAGAAACTTACTCCTGAGGATCCGAGTTGTATGCCGCTTATTTCGTTTAGTGTCTAACCGTAAAATCAGAAGAACTGAAGAAAGAATCCTCAAAAGTGACAACGATTTTGTTTTTTTCCACGCTTGATTGTCATAATCTAAAGTACCTTCATTAATATTGAAACTGAAATTTTCGCACTACATCATAAAATCATGGTGAAAGTATTGCTGGCCATACAAAAAATGCCTCTCTGATTCCTAACTTGGAGAAAATATTTCATTTCCAAACTAGCCAGGTCCTCCTAACTGTTATGCTGGAATACCTGGTATGCATGGAAAGCCTGGGTCCCCTGGGATACCAGGACGTGACGGCCGAGATGGACGTGAAGGAGTCAAAGGTGATCAGGGTAGTCCAGGGAAGTCTGGACCTCAAGGACCCCCAGGCCCTAGAGGAACTCCGGGCGCCAAAGGAGAACCTGGAGTACAGTGTCCTTCTTACCAAAGAGGGCAGCGTGGAGAAAGTGGAACTTCTGGTGTGATGTCTTTTAAGAACTGGAAAGAGTGTTCGTGGAGTAACTTGAATGAAGGAAAAGATATCGGCCTCATCAAGGTGAATAGCAATAGTTTTGAGAAGGAAAAGCCTTAGCGTTTGATTTTTGTGGTACTTGGTTTTTTAATTTGTTTGATTGCGCATTGCATTAATTTCTCATAAATAAAACGGCCTAAATTACTTAGCCTGGTCCCTTCTGAAGTTAGACTAACATTTTTCTTGTTCTTTTTGTTTGTCTTGGGTTCATAACTCTTTCGTACGAGTGTTTGTTTACTAAGAACTTCTCTGACACATCTCTACGTGTTTCCTGGACTGGGACTCTTCGAGTTGAGGGCTGCACCGGCTGCTGCAAACGCTGGTATTTCACTTTCAACGGCGCTGAATGTTCAGGTCCCCTACCAGTTGATGGTGTTGTGTACCCGGGTGGTGCTAGCCATCAAAATCCTCACCGTGTCCGCCATATTGAGGGTCACTGTACCAACATCCATGAAGGCAAGGTGCGCGTGGGATTCTGGGTCGGTAACTGTCAAGGATATGGAAACCATGACGCCTATACTGGTTGGAAGGCAGTGTCGCGGATCTATGTTGAGGAAGTTCCCAAACCACAAGCTTAGATTTCGTAATATACCGTTCATTCCTGCATAAGCGCCTACAGTTTAATTGGGCATGATCTGAGTTTAGTTACACAATTAGCACAAGCTAGTTAAACAAAACTGCATTGAAAAAACTTTCCATTAACATATCGATTTCTCAGTATGTTATGCTAGGCAAATTCATTTAAGTGAACATCATTGAGCTAACTGCAAAACAACAATTCTAGATTAGAGCTCTTAAAATACTGCATTTAATTAAAAGTGATGTAAAGTTATTAGTGTGTCTCTTGGTGGTAGATCACTTCTTTTCCATACAGCTTTTCAAGCTTTATTTCTGTCTAACAGAAACCCCTCTCAAGACAAGATAAATTCTCGTAAATTACCAAAGATGCTCGTTTTATTGGAGGTTGTTATTTCCGGGTCTGGGCCAAAATTGTTCAAAACAAGATTAACCTAACCCGGGGTGAGTGTAAATTTTTAATTCACTTTAATAGATTTGCACAGGGATTTTTCGTTTGTATTTTTTTCAATTAGTTTCGAGTCATATTGAAATAGACCCCAACAAATCCTCAGCTCTTTTACACACTCCTCTACGCGAGAAATTAAAGCCAAGCTTACCTTTTAATCCCAAATTAAAGTTAACCCCCTTTCGAACAACCCAGCCCCGGACTGTGTATATGTTCAAACCGTAGCTCTATTTCAGAACAAAATACTCTAATCTACAGCGTCAAGACAATACAGCGTCAAGAGAATACAAGAAATTACAAAATTTCTTGACAACGTACAGTGTCTGATGTTTGTAAGGGATATTGCATATCTGATATCGATTGTGCTTGAAGGGATGGAGCATCTTTGAATTATACAGAAACAGAATAACAATAACAACAATCATGGAGAAAAGGCATTAACTCTTTTTTGCCTTTGTTTTGTAGACATCGAATGAAAACGTGTTTACTTGAAAAGTCTTCACGATAATCATGCCAAACAGCCGTGGCGCTCACGCTTAGTGGAATTTATCTCTTTTTCAACCTTCCCCCTCCCCCCCTCCACCCCCTTCCACATTTGTAAAATCGATTTTCACCCTACGCTTTCCCCATAATAATTTTACATTCGACGAGAAATTAGCTCCTGTAAAATTTAGCGACTCGCTATTACCGTTACGTCGCTTACGTACGGTGGCTCTCAAGGGCCATCCACCTACAAAAATTTTCATGACTTTATCGCGCGATAAGTTTTACTAAGCCCATTCATTCAAAAAATTTGCAATCAACATTATCGCGCGATAGATAAACTTATGG